TGACTCTGTGTATACCTTCCATCTTCTTTTGATGTTTTCTGCATCACTGAATAATTTGCCCAGAGGATCCTTCAATGACGAAAGTCGAGGCTTGAATTATTTCTTCAGTTCCCCCAGCTTGAGAAATGCTAAGTGTGTTCTTCTCTTTTAGTTTTCTGACTCCAGATCTTTGCACATTTCTTTGTAATTTTTAACTTTGTCTTCTCAAGCTGATCTTCGAAATTTTCTGTTCAGCTCTTCTTGTACCTCCTCATTTCTTCCATTTGCTTTAGCATCTCTACACTGGAGAGCAAATTTCAGTGTCTCTTCTGACATCCATTTTGATCTTTTCTTTCTTTCTTGTCTTCTTAATGACTTTTTGCTTTCTTCATGTATGGTATTCTTGATGTCATCCCACAACTCTTCTGGTCTTCGGTCTTTAATGTTTAATGTATCAAATCTATTCTTCAAATGACCTCTAAATTCAGGTGGGATATATTCAAGGTCATATTTTGTCTCTCGTGGACTTGTTTTCATTTACTTCAGCTTCAGTTTGAATTTGCATATGAGCAACTGATGGTCTGTTCCACAATCTGCCCCTAACCTTGTTTTGACTGTTGAATGATATCACTATGAAAAAAAGCGTGAAATAATTTCCTTACATTCAATGGTGTTGGGATAAATGTATATATTTAGGGAGTAAAAAAGCTGTACCTCTCAATAAATTAAAAAAACAAATTCCAGATAAATTAAAGAGCCAAACATAAAAACAAAAAAAATAAAGTTTCTAGAAGAAAACGTAAGGTTAAAAAAAATAAAAACAAAAAAAATAAAGTTTCTAGAAGAAAACGTAAGGTTATCTTTAAAGCCTTGAGAAGATGAATGCTTCCTTAAGCACAGCCATGTAAGAACAGAAAAACCAATCTGAATACATAAAAATCAGAAATTTCTGTACAATTAAAGACACTATTATAGCATGGAAAAGAACTCCACAAATTCAGAGAGGTTTTCCCTAACATCTGTTACCATGAAAGTGATAATATTCCAAATATTTAAATGAACACAAAAGATAATTGCTACATGTAAACAAAAAAGATTTAAAATTGCACAATGAAAAGAATAATTCAAAGACTACAAATGGCCAGTATAATAATTAAAGAATCTTAAGATGTGGGAATTAGAAAAGTTCAAAAAAAAAAATTTACAAACATCATTGTTCATGAACTGCCTACATTTTTTAAATGAAAAATAATAGTGGCTGTGCAAAAAAAAAAAAAAAAAATTAATTAGAGGGAGTATTTTATATAGTTTATATACTTAACCTGATACAATATTA